TATGGTTCCTGCCTCCGCTACATCACTTGCTAGACTGTTCCACTTCCTGATAACTTTGTGACTAAAGGAATACTTCCTAACATCCCTTTGACTCATCTGAGTCTTCAACTTCCAATTGTGACCTCTTGTTTCTGTGTCCCATCACTGGAACATCCTGTCTCTGTCCACCTTCTCAATTCCTCGTAGTAATTTGTATGTCATTATCACGTTTTCCCTAACTATCCTGTCCCCTAATGTCGTCAGGCCGATTTCCCTTAACCTTTCTTCGTAGCACATTCCCCTTAGCTCTGGAACTAGTCTTGTTGCAAACCTTTCCACTTTCTCTAATTTCTTGACGTGCTTGACCAGGTGTGGGTTCCAAACTGGTGCTGCATACTCCAGTATGGGCCTGGCGTACACGGTGTACAGAGTCTTGAACGATTCCTTTCTGAGGTATCGGAACGCTTTTCTCAGGTTTGCCAGTGTTACAAAAAGAGAAGTTATGTGTGTTGCTGGGCTACACAACAGATGTGAGTGGAAAACTCCGGGAGTTTGGAACAAATCTCCTTACGTATGTAAACTGTGATGGAGGTGACGAGGTGATGGATCACGGTCAGCACTGGCTGTCTTTATTATTTTGTCAATTATATCCAGGAGACAATATCCCGACAAAATAATAATTTAATATCTTTGATATTAGAATGGTACTTTTGAGTACAATAATGCTAATGTTTATAATACAATTCACAAGCATTTAGTTAAGGTAACATTTTCATTGCCACGAGTCGTAATTAACCATATATACACATATACCCAGGGGGTTTCAATCAGTGACGGAAATGTCTCACTATAGGTCGACTCTATATACGTACAAGGCTAAATTGTACATCCGTCCTCGAATAATCACTGGCTTCGAGTACAATAATCCACCAAGTAAGAAGCTAACCTAGATATAGAGACATTTATCAAAACACAATAAACGATCTTAAGGAAGCAGGAACAAAACACACAGCTGAAATCTTCAGTACAATCTCTATAGGAGTCCTAATACTCCTCTCTTACCAAATATATGTTCGGCTCTATTCAAATCAAGACTACGGTAATACGTAGAGGTCATAGTTAAATCCACAGATTGACTTTATAACGCCAGAAAAACTCGCAGCCTTAGTAGATATCAAAATCTCGAAGTATAGAAATAACTCTGTCCTTCACTGATACCCAGTGTAGCGAGAAAGAGGTTCCGTCTCACTAACGGAACCTTTTGTTACTCAAAACTTGAGTCTAATCAAACTTCGAGGAGAAGGAGATGTTTGCAAGGCTAGAGGTAGGTTTGTACTCACTCAGGCAACGAGATGTTTGCAAAGCTAGAGGTAGGCTGGTACTCACTCAGGCAACGAGATGTTTGCAAAGCTAGAGGTAGGCTTGTACTCACTCAGGCAACGAGATGTTTGCAAAGCTAGAGGTAGGCTTGTACTCACTCAGGCAACGAGGTGTTTGCAAAGCTAGAGGTAGGCTTGTACTCACTCAGGCAACGAGATGTTTGCAAAGCTAGAGGTAGGCTTGTACTCACTCAGGCAACGAGATGTTTGCAAAGCTAGAGGTAGGCTGGTACTCACTCAGGCAACGAGATGTTTGCAAAGCTAGAGGTAGGCTTGTACTCAGGCAACGAGATGTTTGCAAAGCTAGAGGTAGGCTTGTACTCACTCAGGCAACGAGATGTTTGCAAAGCTAGAGGTAGGCTTGTACTCACTCAGGCAACGAGATGTTTGCAAAGGCTAGAGGTAGGCTTGTACTCACTCAGGCAACGAGATGTTTGCAAAGCTAGAGGTAGGCTTGTACTCACTCAGGCAACGAGATGTTTGCAAAGCTAGAGGTAGGCTTGTACTCACTCAGGCAACGAGATGTTTGCAAAGCTAGAGGTAGGCTTGTACTCACTCAGGCAACGAGATGTTTGCAAAGCTAGAGGTAGGCTTGTACTCACTCAGGCAACGAGATGTTTGCAAAGCTAGAGGTAGGCTGGTACTCACTCAGGCAACGAGATGTTTGCAAAGCTAGAGGTAGGCTGGTACTCACTCAGGCAACGAGATGTTTGCAAAGCTAGAGGTAGGCTGTACTCACTCAGGCAACGAGATGTTTGCAAAGCTAGAGGTAGGCTGGTACTCACTCAGGCAACGAGATGTTTGCAAAGCTAGAGGTAGGCTGGTACTCACTCAGGCAACGAGATGTTTGCAAAGCTAGAGGTAGGCTTGTACTCAGGCAACGCCTCTAAGCCAGACGTCAACTCGATTCATGAGACATCTACCCGAGAGACCGATTGACTCTATTATACGGTAGTTAGCACAGCAGTTTCCGACTTGATTCAATGAACACGTCCTACCTATATACATAGCTAAATAAGATACCTTCATTTTAGCTATTAATGAAGATATAGACAATATAACATTAAGTGAAAATAAAAAATATATACATATAACAACATATACACTTTGGGTCTCATGCAAGGGACGCAACAGCCAGGCGCCCATATGCTGCAGCAGTTATCTGGTTGATGTGCACCTCAGGAGATGTGCTCGGTATTATACTCACCCCAAGATCCTTTTCCTTGAGTGAGGTTTGCAGTCTTTGGCCACCAACCCTATACTCTGTCTGCGTTCTTCTTTGCCCTTCCCCGATCTTCATGACTTTGCATTTTTGGGGGGGGGGGGTTTAAATTCTAAGAGCCAGTTGTTGGACCAGGCTTGTAGCTCTCCAGGTCTCTTTGTAGTCCTGCCTGATCCTCATCCGATTTAATTCTCCTCATTAACTTCACCTCATCTGCAAACAGGGACACTTCTGAGTCTATCCCTTCCGTCATGTCATTCACATATACCAAAAATAGCACTGGTCCTAGGACTGACCCAGTGGAACCCCGCTCGTTACAGGCGCCCACTCTGACACCTGGTCACGTACCATGACTCGTTGTTGCCTCCCTGTCAGGTATTCTGTGTGTGTGTGTGTGTGTGTGTGTGTGTGGACCACTCGCAGACGTCGCTCACTAACACACACACACATACATACACACATATACGCTTACTAACAAAATCATATACACTAACACATACATACACACTCACTAACACATACATATACATAAAGCTGGGGGATCCTATTGACACGGAGAGTAGTACCGACAAACCAGCCACAGCTGCAGGTATAACGTGACTCACGAAATCGTAATGACACGATTGCAAACAAACCATACCCCGGCCGGGATTGAACCCGCGGTCAGAGAGTCTCAAAACTCCAGACCTAGTTGGACGAATCTTATTGTGGCTAGCTGGTCTAGTGGCTAACGCGACGGTCTGGAGTTTTGAGACTCTCTGACCGCGGGTTCAATCCCGGCCGGGGTATGGTTTGGTCTGCAGGTATAACACTGGGATCTCATAGCATCTGATAGCTTAAAGCTATATTACCTTTAATTAGCCTTATAAATTGGTCTTAGATTCCCGTTTGGTCCAGTAAAATTTTCAATTATGTGTCGGAAAACACCTCGAAAAAAATCTCACACGTCGAATACGCAGCAAAAAAAAAGTTACGCCTGCTTTTTGGTGTAGCCGGTCAGCGGTCTCGGGTCCTGTCTCGATGTGTGTCGGGTTCGTTTTGTTTCGTACAGTATCGGGCTCGTTTTGTTTCGTCCGGTGAAGGGTTCGTTTTTGTTTCGCACAGTGTCAGGTTAGTTTTGTTTCGTAAGGTGGCAGGTTTGTTTTATTTCGTACAGTATCTGGTTCGTTTTGTTTTGTACAGTGACGGGTTCGGTTTATGACACCCACTGTAGTGTAAAAATTAACATTTAGTTAATATTATCACTTCCTTGGGTAGTATTCACACTATAGTGGTTAATACTAACATTCCAGTAGTTAATATTACCACTAACTTCGTGATAAATTAACCACTGTAACTTTAGTTGGTTCTACAATGTTAATATTAACCAACGTAAAGAAATATGTTAATAACATCTAGTTAATAAAATGTTTACCGCTAGTATACTACTCTGTAATGTTAGTAAACTACTCTTTAGTGTTAGTACACTAATCTGTAATATTTGTACACTAATCTTTATCTAGTGTTAGTACACTAATCGATATCACTGGTACACTAATCTCTTTATTGTTCTTTCGTGCAAGTTCAACGAGCTAATAACTTGAATACAAAGCCGCGTTAAACGGCAAAATTTCGAACCCCGTTACGCTGCCCATTTCAACATTTTAGAACAGTTTGACCGCCACATTTGACCGTTCCAAATGCATATTTTTTCCGAATGGCCTAAAATTTTCTTTGAATTGGCGTATATCACGTTCGTGAAGGCACGAATGTACATTTTTCGTTTATTATTCTACTTCGACGCACAACCCGCTGCCCCTGAACCCGCACCCCCATAATTTCCACCCCTTAACCCCTTACACAGTTTGTTAAGATGTGACTGTTAATTGTGTGTTAATGTTGGTTAACAGTGAACTAAGAGAGGTTAACTTTAGAGGGTTTGTGTTAATATCAGTGTTTTCGTCTTAGTTCGTTAATGAACGTTCGCTGACTTGTTGGTTATATATTTGTTCCATCCCTCAGGAGCTGTTCAGTATCCAGAGACCTAACTGACCATCCTTCCATCCTGCAGGACCTACCCTCAGACCTAACTGACCATCCTTCCATCCTGCAGGACCTACCCTCAGACCTAACTGACCATCCTTCCATCCTGCAGGACCTACCCTCAGACCTAACTGACCATCCTTCCATCCTGCAGGACCTACCCTCAGACCTAATTGACCATCCTTCCATCCTACAGGACCTACCCTCAGACCTAACTGACCATCCTTCCATCCTGCAGGACCTACCCTCAGACCTAACTGACCATCTCTTCCGTCCTGCAGTACCCTCAGGCCTAACTAACCATCCCTTCTATCCTACAGTACCCTCAGACATAACTAACCATCCCTTCTATCCTACAGTACCCTCAGACATAACTAACCATCCCTTCTATCCTACAGGGCCCAGCCAGTACCCGGGACTGTATTCAGCCTCCCTCTTCGGCGGTTCCGGCGCCGGTGGCAAGAGAAAGCGGAGACACCGAACTATCTTCACTGAAGAGCAGCTGGAGGAACTGGAGAGGACCTTCGCCAAGACTCACTACCCTGACGTCCTCCTCAGAGAGCAGCTCGCCCTCAAGGTCGACCTCAAGGAGGAGAGAGTTGAGGTGAGGACCACTATTCTTGTGGGGATGGGGAAAGAGGGAGAGGAGAGAGAGAGGAGAGAGAGAGAGAGAGAGAGAGAGAAGAGAGAGAGAGAGAGAAGAGGAGTAGGAGAGGAGAGGAGAGAGGGGATCGCTCATGTTCATGGGAGGAGAGGGGAATGATCGATCATGGGGGGAGGGAATCGCATCACAATTCATGGGGAAAAACACATCACTATTCTTGGGAATGACATCCTATTCATGGGTAGGAATATCGTTGATTCACTATTCTGGGGAATCGACATCATTATTCATGGGGGAATCACATCATTATTCATGGGGAATCACATCATACTTCATGGGGGAATCGCATCACTATTCTGAGGGAAATCGAATCACTATTCTTGGGGAATCACATCATTATTCATGGGGGAATCACATCATTATTCATGGGGGAATCACATCATACTTCATGGGGGAATCGCATCACTATCTGGAGGGAATAAATCATCGAATCACTATTCATGGGGAATTACATCATTATTTGAATAAATCATACTCATGGGATGCAACTCTTGGGGGTCAATCATATTATTGAGGATCACATCGTTATTGGAATCCATCTACATGGCGGAATTCAATCAGTCCTACATAGGAGGGAAAGCTTGATGAATTCAGGAGGAGAATGAGTAATCACCTCACTTGGTGGAATTTCAGTCATCATCTTGATGAGGAATACGTGCATACAGTGGCGGAGAATCTAAAATCACATTGCAGGGAGGTTCGCACGACTATTACTAGAGTGGGATCAAATCATTGATTCAATGTGGGAATACTCATTGTTCGTGCCGCAAGACATTAGCATGGGGAATTCCCAATATTAAGATCCCAAGAGTTGCAGTGTCAATCACAGGTTCTTGAGAATCAATCATTATTCATGGGGAGAATCACATCATGTTGATGGGAAATAATCATTCATGGGGAATCGCATCACTATTCTGGGGATCAATCCTATTCTTGGGGAATCACATCATTATTCAGGGGGGCATTCATCAGTCCATTCATAGGGAGAACTGCACTCATCCTTCATGGAGGATTCTATAAGCTTCTCGAGTATGCGAATTCTACTCAGATTTGTGGGGAATCACATCGACTCATGGGGGGATCCATTCACTATGTCTCGATCAAGTTTCTATAATTATGATATGAGCACTGTGTGGCGAACGTTTCCTTCTATAAAGATACAAGAGTTGACATGTGTCTAATTTATCACTGTCGGGTCTCTAACCATTCATCTACAAATACATCATTATTCATGGGGGAAATCGAATCACTACGCTTGGAGGAAAGCACATAATCATTCATGGGGAATCGCATCACTATTCTCGGGGGAATCGAATCACTATTCTTGGGGAATCAAATCATTATTCACGGGGGAATCGCATCACTATTATGGGGGAGTAGAGTCACTATTCATGGGGAAACTGCGTCACTGTTCACGGGGGAATCGCGTTAATAGTTATGGGGGAAATTGCGTTACTATTTTTGGGGGAATCGGATCACTGTTCATGGGGAATCACATCACTATTCACAAGGGAATCACATCACTATTCATGGGGGAATCACGTTACTATTCATGATGGAATCATATTACTATTAATGGGGAATCACATCACTATTCATGGGAAATCACATCACTATTCATTGGGGAATCGCGTCACTATTCATGGGGAATCGCATCACTATTCACGGGGGAATCACATCATTATTCATGAGGACATCGCGTCACTATTCATGGGGGAATTGCATTACTAGTCATGGAGGATTCGCATCACAATTCATAGGGGAAAATCGCGTCTCTATTCATGGGGGAACCACATCACTGTTCATGGGGGAATCGCGTCACTATACACATCTGGGTATATATACACTGAGAGACACACATCTCAGTATATACGACATTACCTGGAGTCTACCTGGAGGGTATTCTGGGGATCAACGCCCCCTTGGCCCGGTCCATGACCAGGCCTCCCGGTGGATCAGGGCCTAATCAACCAGGCTGCTACTGCTGCCGCACGTAGTTTAACGTATGAACCACAGCCCGGCTGATCCGGCACCGACTTTAAGTATCTCTCCAACTCCCTCTTGAAGGCAGCCAGGGGTCTATTGGTAATTTCCCTTATGGATGGTGGGAGGTTGTTGAACAGTCTTGGGCCCCGGACACTTATTGCGCTTACTCTTAGCGTATTAATGATGCCCCTACTTTTCACTGGGGTTATGTTGCATCGCCTGCCAAGTCTTTTACTTTCATAGGGAGTGATTTCTGTGTGCAGATTTGGGACCAATTCCTCTAGGATTTTCTAGGTGTTGATTATAATGTATTTCTCTCGCCTGTGCTCCAGTGAGTACAAATCAAGTGCTTCTAAGCCTTCCCAATAGTTAAGGTAAATTTTCTAGATCTGCAATTTCATCTGCCTTGAATGGAGATGTTAATGTACAGCAGTATTCCAGCCTAGAGAGAACAAGTGATTTAAAAAGGATCATCATTAGCTTGACATCTGTCATGAATGTTCTCATTATACATTCTATCAATTTCCTCGCAGATGTGATCGTGGCATTGTTGTGATCCTTGAAGGTGAGATCCTCAGGCATTACCACTCCCAGGTCCCTCACATTACTTTTCCGCTCTATTGTGTGATTAGAGTTTGTAATTCTAGTTATTATTTCCTCCGGTTTTCCATAACGGAGTAGTTGGAATTTGTCTTCATTGAACATTATATTGTTCTCCGTTGCCCATTGGAAAATTTGGTTTATATCTTCTTGGAGCTTTGCTGTGTCCTCAATGGATGACACTCTCATGCAGATCCTAGTGTCGTCTGCAAAAGATGATACAGCGCTGTGATTTACATCTCTGTCTTATGCCTGATATTAGTGTAGTTGACACCCCGTAAAGCTACCAACGCATATGAAGGCACAAACGTAGGCAACATTTCGTTCTAAAATGAGCGAAATGTATCACAAAAGATTATCAGATTTTTTTTTTTTAGGGGGGTTGGGGTAAAAAGAAATTACGTTCATTTTACAAGTGATAATTTTTACTGAGGTTCGAGCCTGCACCGCTGCCTGTTCTCAGTAACCCCCCTACCATACGGGCTTATCGCTCCACGGGGAGCGATAAGCCCGTATGGTTGTGTCTTGTATGCACCGTAAATGACGACCACCCCTGCCGATCTCTGCCCACTCCTGCCTATCCATGCCCATCCCTGTCCACCCTTGCCCATCCCTGTCCACTCCTGCCCATCCCTGCCCACCCCTGTCCACCCCTGCCCATCCCTGCCCATCCCTGTCCACCCCTGCCCATCCCTGCCCATCCCTGTCCACCCCTGCCCATCCCTGCCTATTCCTGCTCACCCCTTGTCCACCCCTGCCTACCCCAGCTCACCCCTGCCAAGCCCAGTCAACCCCTGTCTACCGCTGCCCACCCCGGACCACCCCGGACCACCCAGGCCCACCCCTTTCTGGCCCGGGACTAAACCCTTTCCTCCGCCATTTTCGATTTTTCTTTTTAAGATGGCCATTTTTACCATTCTTATGGGCCGTTTTGACCAGTTATATAGACCATTTTGAGACAGATTTGACCACCTTTTTGGGTATATAAATTTTCGAATTTTTTTTTACTTTCACGTATACGTTTTTTATGGGGATTTGTATTATTTGTAGGGGCGTATTTTATGTTGTATTTTGTATTGTATTTTGTATTGTATTTTGTATTGTATTTTGTATTGCATTTTGTATCGTATTTTATGTCGTATTTTGTGTTGTATTGTATTATGTATTTTGTATTTTTTTCTGTCCATCTTGTGTTGTATATTGTGTTGTATTTTGAGTTGTATTTTGTGTTGTGTTTCGTGTTGAATTTTGTGTTGTATTTAGTGTTGCATTTTATGTTGTATTTCATGTAGTATTTCGTGTTGTATTTTGTGTTGTATTTCGTGTTATATTTTGTGTTGTATTTAGTGTATTTAGTTGTATTTCATTGTATTTCGTGCTGTATTTTGTGTTGTATTTCGTGTAGTATTTCGTGTTATATTTTGTGTTGTATTTCGTGTTGTAAGTTGAGTTGTATTTTGTGTTGCATTTGGTGTCGAATTCGTGTTAAATTTTGTGTTGCATTTTGTGATGTATTTCGTGTACTATTTCGTATTATATTTTGTATTGCATTTAGTGTAGTATTTTGCGTTGTATTTCGTGTTAAATTTTGTGTTACATTTCGTGTTGTAATTTGCGCAGTATTTCGATTTATATTTCGTGTTGCATGAGTGTCACCCACGTTGCTGAGGTGCAGCTCTCTCTCTCTCTCTCTCTCTCTCTCTCTCTCTCTCTCTCCCTCTATCTGAGGCCGGAAGTGGTGTCTGGGAGGTGACTGGGAGACCAGAAAGAGAGATTACCTCACGCAGGTGGTCCAACACAGGCATAACAATGGCGGCGGATTACTAGACCACTCTCCCCTTCCATCCTCTATCCTTCCCTCTCTACCCCTCCCTCTCGCTCACCCTCCCTCGAACACTCCATCTTTCTTTCTCCCATCTACTCCCCCCTCCCTAAGACCCTCCTACAAAACCCTTCCTGTCTCCCTTTAACCATCCTATCCGCTCTTCCTCCTATCCATCCATACATCACTTCCTCTATCCCTACATTTCCAGCGGTAAACATTTAAATTAGTTAAAAGTTTGTGAAGAGGTTAGTTTACTGTGTACCTCATATTCACCCTGTGGATGGTAGTGGCTAGTTTATTGTATTTCGAGTAAATAATATATACAATATATACAATATATACAATATATACAATACCGTCAAGTTAATGAATAAGAAACATATGCAACACCTTTGTGTCTTTAATGTCTAATATCGGAGGCGGTGGAGGAGTGATGAGGTGATTTAGAATTTAGTCCCTCGGGCTTAAAAAGTTAATATAAGGTGTTCAGTCCCTTAGTCTTGAACAGTTTTTTATCACTACAAGATGT